AACTCATTTCAGATATTCTGTAGGCATTCAGTCTATCAATATAAAAAATTCATTATTTTTTATCATTACTTTTTGCTCAATACTTTTTTTTCTGTTATGTTACATCCCTTTTCTGTGACCATCCCTACTACAACCCCTACCTTTTGTTGCCATCTGTTGTACTGTGGTTGCCTACACATTATTAAACAAACATTTTTAAAACGAAAAACAAGAAGTAAATCAGTTAATTGATTAATTTAATGATGATTAACAGGTTGTTGTTTGTATTGTTTTCTGTTAAAAGATTGTCGGAAATTACTTTCTTTTCCGGTATAAATTTATAGTCGTGATCTTGTGTATTTTAAACTTTGTTGGAAAACTTTCAAAAAGTGTTACTCTTCATCTTGTTATTCATATAATATGCATGCATGTCTAAATCATCGTACATGTATTTTGATTGAATGAGCAATGTATCAGTATCATTGACAAATTTAAAGCCATGAAAGTTTTTCAATAACAAAAAAATCTGATAGCAGATTCTAAAGCTTTTTTTAAACAATAATTTGATAACTTACGATCTGATCGAATATTATTATATGATTGAATTATTACTTTCTCTCTGATTGGCTGATATTCAAAAATACTATGCAATTATACCATCATATGAGAATCATATGTTGCAAATCATACTAGTATGAGAATCATATCATTACACATATGTAAATCATATGAAGTAATATACATATGATTCTCATATGAAAGATCCTGCATACATGTGCATGTGTGTTGAAAGTACATCAGCTAGCTAATCCATTGAATATTTACATCTATGTATTCATTGACTGACAATTATTTTTTTCCCCAACACTAGTGAACGGGGCGCGCACCTATAGTTTCGGGTTAAATGTTAGATATATTTAAGACTATAGAGAACCTACAAAGTTGTACTCTCTCTTTTTAGTAGTTTAAGTTTTAATTACATGTATGTTTAGAAAATATCTACTTTGTGAATATTAGTCTTACAGGTTCAATATACAGTCAGCCTCTCATAAGATAAAGAACAAATCCCAAGATCGAAGGCTTGCTTCAAAGTTAAGGTAACTACACACTGTTAAATAAACTTTGTTATATTCTTCCCAAAAAAGTTTGGGATATCCTGGAATCACAAGGTCTGTTTTTCTGCCTGTCTACTTGTCTGTAGTATTTTTTGTCCAAAAATAATATATTTGTGTCAGAATCTTCTTAATTTTTGACAATTTGAATTAATATATACTGTTTGAACTTTCCAAATTTAGTTGTCAAAATAAAAAAAAATTGCTTTTTATGATTTTATTAAGAAGCATATCCTTCAATAGTGTAATTGTTTTGCAAATTACATCATAGGATTCCTCAAAACACCAAGTATAACATATATAACATTAGTTTTATCTTGTATCATATCTGTGTCGGTGAAGTGGGCATACATTTGTTTGCTGATTATATCTAAGTAACTTTTATAACTTGTAGAATTAAGAATTATTTTATTTTTACTTTTGAAATTTTTGTAGAGACCATTCTTTGCCACAAAAAAATTTTTCAGGAAGAGGAGAACTGGTGGATATACATTTTGGTACAGTTCAAAGAGGTATTCAAAATGGTCATGGAAGATCAGAGGGAGGACAACTGAAAAAAATCTGAAAGATACAGAAGGAAAAAGAACAAAGAAATATATGGAATAATTATGAAATGGGGGGGGGGGGGATGTACACAATCTTGTCTGAATTTGACCTGTAAAGATTTACCATATTCTTATTTGTATGATGGAATAATCAATAGCTTGATTTTTCATAAATTTACCATAGAGAATACATGACAAATGTTATTGCTGATATTTCAATTTTGCTTTGGACACTTTCATGTCATATGGTATTTTTATACAAGTACATGACCTAATTATGTTATTCATTTGTACATGTATACATATACAAATAATATGTACTCAATTTAGAATACTAGTATGTAAAATACATGTATCGACAAATGCTACTGACTTGTTTGTATACTTTCTTGTTTAGAATGTATGCACTGTGAAAAATAAGTTATTTCTCTTAATGAAAATAATTTTATCATAAAAGTTGTGTAAGCATTATAAGATATTTTGAAATATTTAACCAATGAAGATAAATCATTGTAATGTAATGAATTTTCTTCTAAAGCAGAAATATCTGATTTTTAAATGTGTACAAGAATGTGAAAAATATTGAAAGAGAACATACATAACTGTTTCATATGATTTATATATGATACCCTTTTCATATGATTCTCATATGTAAATGGCTTGACACATACATAAACAATTCATATGCAAATCATATGAAGTTGTTTTCATATGAATCGCATATGTGGATCATATGATTTGTTTCATATGATTCACATATGATGCCCTTTTTCTATGATTCTCATATGAATACAATCATATGAGAATCATATGATACTCATATGTGGATCATATGTGGCTAAGTTGCCTGTATACGTTACACAAATATTCACCAGTACGTCACCTTCAATATAATATAATGTGTTTTTTTCTATATTGGTCTAAAAATAATTAATGAAATTCCATATCTTGGAAAGCTATTTTACTTGTTACCGACTTCCACTTAGCTGGTGAAAATAACATTAGGGAAATAAGGGAATGTATTATTTGGGGTGGGGATGGTTAGGAGGTGGTGCAGCAGGAAACCTCCCCACAAAAAATATTTTCGGAACGTAAATTTTTACTTTATTTGGATTTTAAAAAAATCATAAAAGGCTGGTCCCAAACAAATGAACCTTGTTTAATTCCCCTTCCTTTATCCCAACTCAAAACAAAATTTGAAGTTAAAAGATGCCCCTTTTCTTGGGGGGGGGGGGTATCAAAAGATTTTTTTCAGCTGTCGTTCCCCGATAATGCCCACTCCCCTTCAAAATGCATTCTATAAAAGATCCTGATATTATTTTTTTTTTTCATTGCAACTTAAGTATATATATATTTTTTTTAATGCAAAGAAATACACCTGGAAGTACAACTGGCAATGTTTATTTAATCCTGCTTCTCTCATTACATTTGGCTATAGGAGTTCAGCAAATGAAATCAAATAAAATGGCATGAAATCCTCAATAAGTTTGTAAGTCTAAATCATCGTTTTGACCTCAAAAACAGCTATAATTGTATAATTATAAATACTTTACATTCAGCTATTTAAAAAAGTGTATTTTTTAAATGCCGTTTATGAAAAAAAAATACTAGTATTTAATGACTCTTTAGAAACATTGACAATTAGAAAGGTTTGAATGTGTTACATGTATTTGAAATTGAAAATACTCAGATAGTTGTATACATATAGTTAAGAAGGCTGTTATGACAAATATATGATGCTTGATCCTTTTTTTATTATAACTATAGTTATAATATTGATCTAGTGTATCTTGGAACAAATTTTTGAATAATACGAAATTATATCAATCTTATTCTGTATCACTTATTTATATCTTCTTGAATGAAATATGTGTAGATAACGAACAGTACTAGTATTCGAGCTCAAAAGTCCATTAAACATTATAAAATAGGAGCGGGGCAAACCTGGGCCTCCAAAACATCAGAGGTGGGATCAGCTGCCATGGAGGAGTGAGCATCCACGATCGGTCACACCCGCCGTGTGCTCCCTGTCATGATCGGGAAATAACGTAAAAAGGCATTAACTTGTAAACATTTAATCAAAATTCTTTCATATAGCTTTTAATTTTCTTTGACATTCAATATTGCTTCAAAACCTTAGTCCTAACTCAGGGTATGTGGGCGGATCTAAACCTTAGTCCTAACTCAGGGTATGTGGGCGGATCTAAATTTGACCAACATCTTTCTAAATGGCATCTTTAATGATATTGTCTTTTTGACTAATTATAATTTTACTAAGTAAAAGTAAAGGAGGGTAATCGTGACTGAATGCAAATATAGTCTTTCCCCTTATAATTGGATAAAGGAAGTTGGAAACATGCAGCTTCGATCATGTCCTTTATTAAGGTAATTTTCATGAGATGTTATAACATTTTAAAATAATGAAAATGAAAATAAAATAATGAGGGGGTTATCGTGACTGAATACAAACTGTATTGTATTATTTATTAGCTTTAGCAAATCCCATAAATGCGTGGTTTGGTGGCAATTCATGGAAATTTTCGTGTAGATTTCTTTCCACTTGTCTTACCTATTTTATTCAAAACACAGATAAAATGATGTTTTTTAAAAAAGTCGTCTTTGAAAGATTTTTAAACATTTATAAGCCATTCTTTTGTTCTTAAAGTCTTATATTTCAAGGACGATCTTCACTAGTACAATATTTTAACTCACACTGTATTCCAAACGTAAAACTGTAGCCCTTTCACAAAAAATCTTACGACATTCTTTTTATCTTAAAGACTGTTTGAAACAAGTTTAACGTCAAAACAAAATTTCTTCATTGTCAGGAAACTTACGAATGAATGAATGACGGAGGAATTACATCAATCTCTAAAGTCCAATAAAAAAAACACAGAGCGGGAGCAGAGCAAACAAGGACCTCTAAAAACGTCAAAGGTGGGATCAGGTGCCATGGCAATAGATAGACAAAAATGTTCTTTTATGTAGAAATAAGCCTCTCATCATCCATGACTCGTATATGTATAGTAATCAACATCATTAAAATTATTTGTTAGATTGCTGAAAATTCACTTCAATCGAGTTTAATGCCTGTAGAGACAAATATAAAGGGTTGGAAGGTGGATAAATTGTAAACATTGGCTACAGAATGTGTCTAGACTTAGGGAGTGAAAGGTGGTCCCCAAAAGTGCGCAAAAAATATTGCGCCGTAAATTGACGTTTTTTGCCGATGCTGTAGCGTTATGGTCAAAGACAGAAATTCTCTACCCAAAAGTGCGCAAAAAATATTGTATACTGCCGTGAAATGGAATTTCACAATTGCACGTTTTTTGGCACAAAATGATACGGACAATAAATCCAAAAATTAATAAGAAAACCTTGACAAATATATAAAATGCCCGAATCCGTAGAGGGTACGTCCTTGTCTCTTCAGGGCATAGACAACGTCCATGGCTGTGACTGTCTTCCTCTTGGCATGCTCTGTGTAGGTGACAGCATCACGGATGACGTTCTCAAGGAAAACTTTCAGGACACCACGGGTTTCCTCGTAGATGAGCCCAGAGATACGTTTGACTCCACCTCTGCGTGCAAGACGACGGATGGCGGGTTTGGTAATACCCTGGATGTTATCTCTCAGGACCTTCCTGTGACGCTTAGCGCCCCCCTTTCCAAGACCTTTTCCTCCTTTACCACGTCCAGACATAGTTCAGCGTCAGTAGATAATCTTCTGAAATGCTGAGTGTTGACGAGAATCGCGCTTTATATAGCAGTCACTACACGACGCGCTAGAAACAATAACGTCTTGAAAACTTCGGCACGTCCCGAATGCAAATTTGAAAGCCGCAGCGCGATTGGTTTACGCTATGCGCGCCTTACATCTGTTTTTGTTTACATTTGTAATACCCTTGAGGTGCTACTAGACCATGCAAAATATTTTGGCCATCTTAATATTTCAGCCACTGTCTAAAATATATAATTCTACATTCCGATTTTTTTTATGTATTTTATAAATAATGTTCCTGTTCTTTGTTTGTTCAGTATCATTCTTATTAGTCAGGGATAATATATTATAACCTGAAATATTTGTAAAACAGACACCACTATAAATAAATATGTGTATCATGATGAGATATAGATGAAATGATATTTAATTAATATTCTCCAGGGAACGTGTAAAACATACGTCTTTCTCTCTATCTTCCTATTTTGAAAAATGTGATATCATTAAATAAAAGTTCTATAATGACTATTATGTATATATAGGGTCAGAACACAATATTATTGACATGAAGTTCCATAAACTATCTGTCATAATATTTAACTCAAATATTTCTTATAAAGAGATTCATGTTTTATTCTTAGCATTCTCTCTCTCTGTCTGAGTAATCTAGATGTAATCATATTTATAGATGATTGACTCACACATACAATAACTATGTGATGATTTATTGACATTCAAGACACTATATACACAAAACATGTTTCATTCATGTTCTGTTTTTATTGAATCTGGATACACGTGTGTTTATATTTACACAGGTGTGAGTGTGTGTATGGTAAATTTTGTGTGTGGCACTCATTTATTCATACACAATATTAAGACGACTGGTTTTATATATATTGTTACGTACGTTTCTCGAGTTTGCATGAAGGCATCTTTTCTAAAGATATTGGTGGCCGTGAAAACGGCCGTTTGTGTTTTGTCTGAGACAAGAAAAGGCTTAGGCTCTCTCGCCACGGATACGTCTAGCAAGCTGGATGTCCTTTGGCATGATGGTCACTCTCTTGGCGTGGATAGCACACAAGTTGGTATCCTCAAAGAGCCCGACGAGGTAGGCCTCGCTGGCTTCCTGGAGGGCCATGACGGCTGAGCTCTGGAAACGCAGATCGGTCTTGAAATCCTGAGCGATTTCACGGACAAGGCGCTGGAATGGGAGTTTTCTGATGAGCAATTCGGTGCTCTTCTGGTATCTCCTGATCTCACGGAGAGCGACAGTTCCTGGCCTGTATCTGTGAGGTTTCTTAACGCCACCGGTGGCTGGTGCGCTCTTACGGGCTGCCTTGGTAGCCAGCTGTTTTCGTGGGGCCTTGCCTCCTGTAGATTTTCTTGCAGTCTGCTTGGTACGTGCCATCTTCTCTGAGTTCAGATAAAATGAATGACGAGTGCAAAGTGTAGTATAGTTTTATACGGTTCCGTGGCTCGTGAATTTTTGATCAAAAGTTCGAAATCAGCGCGCACGAAGTAAGGGTGTTTATGATTGGTTGGGGATTTAGAAAGACACCTTGTGATTAGTCGCTTATAGCGCGCTTCGATTGGTCTTAGCTAGAATCATTTCAATCCACCTTTTTGCACAGATTTTGTACTTGGTTAAAATCAATGTTTTGTTGTTGTAATATGTTATTAAATATAATTTTAACAGACCCACTGGTTGAAGAGATGGACAGTCATGCTAATTAGGATAATAACCGTGATGATAGACATGGATTCACTGAAAATTTTAAATCAATCATTATTTTCTATTTTTGTTCATTTTTATAACATATATTGCAATTTATTTATTTCCTTATTAATATCAACACTGGATTTCATTTCAGGCCCCACAGAGGATATAATGAAGTTTTACCATCTCCATTGATGTACATAACCATGCAATATAAAAATATTAGGCTAAATTAATTCTATTTTATATCATTTTATTTATTTATTTATTTATTTTTTCTGTACATGGTCAAGAGTCTGATGGATCATTATTGTATAGCTTTCTTGAATCTTGATATACATTTTTTTTTTTTCACATCTGCTTTGTGTAATGTTTTTAACAGTTATCATCTTTAGCTTAAGACAGTTTAATATAAGAACTTTTTATCGAACTTTAAAGTCTTATCAATTACTTGTAACATGAAAGATCTAAACCTTGAAATGATATTTGAAGTGTATCATATTATAATAGTGTATTACATTAATACTACTGATAACATATATAAATTGCCACAAACAAATAACATTAGTTTATAGACATTAATTGGTCAAGAGGTGTTACACGGGTGCTATTGCATAATTTTACAAAAAAAAATAAAAAAATAAAGAAAGAAAAGAAAAAAAGGGAATTATACAGGAGTATTTTGGACCATGTAAATATTCAGTGGTGTGAAGGTGTTTCGCTTTCAAGTATCTTTTAATCAGGAGCAAGCTACAGGACATTTTCATAAAAATTCACTGTCATAGAAATTAATGCCAGTCGCACCAAAGTATGCACCCCCTCATACCGAGTGTGGGGCATAAAACCAAGTCAGACTTGTGTACTGCATGATAGTTGAATTCTGAATGGAATTTCACAACTAGTGCAATGGGGGTAGGGGTTCTGTGAATGCAAGAGAAAAAAAAATTCACATACAGTATATACGACAAAAAGTGAGTCATAATTGCATATATTTGGGGAAAAAAAAAAAAAAAAGAACAGAAGAAAAAAAAAAGTTGTGAGGTGAATTTTAGCTCAATTTCCATGACCCCCCCCCCCCCCCCCCAATGAATTGTGTAGAATTGTTCAAATATTCTTGTCTTAAAATGCAAAACAAAATGATACACAAGTCACTGAGAATAAATCAAAAAACTGATAAGAAAACAAAACCTAGTAACCTCAAATTTCTATGATTTCATGACAACATTTAATAGAGTCTTAGATTTTTTTTTTATTTTGCACTTGACCTGAGATATATTACCTCCATGCTTATTAAGAATATTTAGAAATACCAAAAAAAAAAAAAAAAAAAAAAAATGGAATTGTAAATGTTCCCTTCTGTCATCATTTAATTTTATCGACTGCTATTATCTAAGTGTTTCTGGATATTAATATGATTTATCCCATAATCCCAGGTTTATCGTGGGTTACCGAGGGCATTTATCAGATGTTATAATTGACTTTGTAATTTATTAACACCATTTATTAAAAGGACAGATGAGAGATATCCACACGCGTTTCGTTAACGACTGTTAATGAGGCATCTTTTCTAAAAATGTGGGTAGCCCTGAAAAGGGCTTTTTTAATATATTTTGTTTTAGGTAGACAGTCTGCCTGGAATGCAAAAACTGCTTATTTCTTGGCGGCTGCTTTCTTGGGAGTCTTGGTTTTCTTGACTGCTGCCTTTTTGGGGGTCTTGGCCTTCTTGGGCTTGGCTGCTGCCTTCTTTGGTGACTTGGCGGCTGCCTTTTTCTTGGGGGACTTGGCTTTCTTGGGTCCGGCTGGTTTCTTGGCTGCGGCGGCCTTCTTCTTTGGAGTCTTGGCCTTCTTCTCACCGGCTGGCTTCTTGGGCTTGGCGGCGGCCTTCTTGGGCTTGGCGGCCTTGGGTTTGGCAACCTTTTTGGCTTTAGGCTTCTTTTCGGTCTTGGGTTTGTCTCCAAGTTTGAAGGAGCCACTAGCACCTGTGCCCTTGGCTTGCTTCAGAGCACCTTTTTTAACACCATTCTTCAGGGCCATTTTCAGGTGGGCGTTGATAGAGTTAACATCGTTGCCCACTTTGTAGTTGGCCATGATGTACTTGAGAATGGCCTGTCGGGATGAGCCACCACGTTCTTTCAGAGATGCAACGGCTGCGCTGATCATGTCGATGTACTTGGGGTGTGCAGCAGGCACCTTAGGCTTTGCGGTCTTCTTCTTGGCTGGGGACTTTGCTGGTGCGGCGGTATCGGCCATGGCTACTTTCGAGTGTAAAACGTCGACTAACTTCTCCGGGAACTGCAAACAGTGAAATACCTGGGTCACACGCACTTGCTGCTTTTGTTTACATTGAGCGCGGACCGCCTAGAAAACATCCAGTGTGTCGAGACGTTTGTGTTTTATTCCTGCATGTGTGTTTCAATGTGGGTATTTGCATCCTTGCTGCAGCTCAACGGAGGAACTTTTGCCAAATATATCAAGAGAATCTCCAACTCTATAGTTCTGTCTAACGTTCTATCTATTTACATTTTTAGATTGTTCTTACTGCAGTGTTCAAATTCAACAAAATAGCCCCCCAAACTGGCACGATTTAATTTCAGGTTACGATTTAAGATAAATTGTTCACATGAAAGGACAAAATTCAGTAAAGATATCTTAATTTTTCTTTAAAGACACATTTAGTAATGCTAATTTGACCTTCCCGACCTGTAAAATATAATCAGTTTCCCCTAGAACTGCGAGAAATCCTCAAAGACTGTGTACTGTAGTGCACAATGTCATGCCGGTATCAAATCGGTGCTGTGCGACTATGACAATGAATCTGTTCCCTAAAATTTACAAATAAGATATACATGACTGAAATTGTAGAAAGGGGGACAGGAAAATAATATTCAGAATGTATTATTATGATACACGAATTTTAACTAGTGCTAATTGTAACGGGAACCGTTACAGATGTTCCCCAAACGCTTCCCAACTTCATTTTGGTGCCTCATTCCCTCTAAGCTTCATCAAATAAACTAAACTCAAACTTAAACAACGATTTTCCTAAAGTATACCAAGTATATAGCAAATTTTTGCATTGCACGTGCGCACACTTGCATGCATATTCGGAATGACCATATCATTGTATGTACACTATTGATTTATTTTAATGTACTTAATATCAAGACATTTAATCAGAAAGTATTCGAAAATACGCTAAATCAAGTGCGTTTGTAATCATACGTAATGCACATGCACGCACGTGCATGCATGTGCATGATGACCGTACCTTCTTGTAGGGGTCCATTAATACTATCTATGTTCTTAATCCCATCCTGTTTGGCTGAAAACCAAGGGAGTTATAGCCATTTAAAGTTTTAGCCAATCAGATTGCAGCGCACGTGCATGCGCGTGATTTCATGAAAATTATTTTATATCATATTGTAGGATATCTTAATGTATGACTATGTTTTAAATTTCAAAGTATTAAGTCAAAAAACAAATAAGATATTGAGATTTTTGTTTCATCCAATCAAAGCAAAGCGCACGTGCATGCGCGTGAGTTCATGATAATTTGACCATGTCATCTTGTCTATAATACTAATATATTGTTATATTCAAAGTTTCAACACATTTCATCAAAAAATAGAAAAGTTACTGCTATATCAATTATATCGGTCATTTTACATGTTGCACGTGCGCGCTCTTGCAAGCACGTGCGCGCAAAATGACCTTGATTCCGCAAATCTACATAACATGTCTACTTACCCTAAAAAGGTTTTACCTACATCAGACGAACAGTTTACAAGATCATTCGCGGACAAATAAGTACCCAGGAAAAAGAAAAATAATAATAAGAAACAGAGTAAAAACAATATGTTCCCCAACTTCGTTTGGGGAACATAATTACACACATTAAGCAGTATGAAATATCCATAATATAATGTCAGGGTCTTCTTAAAAAATAATTTATTTGAGAAATAACAGACGCTAGTTTGGCTATATTTTTGTATCAATGTTTTATCAGTATTATTTCTATTATTACTATAGATCATTATTATTATTGATTATTTTTGGTTTGCAGCCCCAAACATATAATGAATCTCGTCACCAACCTTAAAAGATCACTTTGTTCTTTAG